TTCTCCTAAAATCTCACACTATATTTAATAGATATTTAGCGACTTTGTCAGAAATACAACTAAAGAGTAACTACTGTATCCGTGTACAGCACAGCCAAACAAACTCATGCTGTTTTGATAACAAACAAAAAAACGTCAGTAGTTTTTTTTCTCCATGCAATCTGGTTTCATGCTGCACTTTGGGAAAGTAGTTTTCCACACAACAGCAGGGCACAGTAAAGTTGATTACCTTGCTAAAAAGTTGGAGGTATGCAGCCTTTCATGTGCAACTCTTAATCTAACAGCCCACTGTGGCTGCTCCATTACCCCCAAAATGTAGAATATGACCATGTTTTGTTTTGTTGATGCATGTTTTGATGAGAAATTCACAACTCACAATAAAATCCTTCTGGTGTTATACCAGTTCAGTGCTTTTAATGTGAAGCAGCAGGTAGGAAATGCATGGTTTGCATTAGCAATAGCTTAATGCATCTCTGATAGGGGAGCAAACTACAGTGAGACTAGTATCAAAGAAATCTAGTTAAATGCAATAACACTGGTTAACATGTTTGGGTCTTGTTAACCCCTTGTGTGTAAATGCCAGGGCTGCCCCTTGAAAGTTGGAGATTGGAGTATTGGTTGAAGACCCCTCAGTTGACTAAAATTGCTTCAGGTAAAGTAGTCTTTTTTGCTGCTCAGTGTGCTCTGCAGTGTACTGTGGATTTTTTGGTAACTAGGGCTGCTACTAACGATTATTTTGATTGTCGACTAATGTGTCGATTATTTCTTCGATTAGTAGACTAATCTTTTTATCGAAAAATGTGTTAAAATGTTGAAAAATGTCGGTCTGTCTCTCCCAAACCCCAAAATGATGTCATCTAATGTCTTGTTTCATACTCACGCCAAAGAGTTTTAGTTCACCGTCATGGGAGAGTGTGTAAAGCTGCCAATATTTGAGCGTAAGAAGCTGCAATAAGAGTATTTTGGGATACTTTTATAGTACTTTTCTATGAAAAATGACTCAAACCGATTAGTTGACTACTAAAATAGTCACCGATTATTTTAATAGTCGAATAGTCATCGATTAGTCGACTAATCGTGGCAGCCCTATTGGTAACTACATTTTGCTTTTGTGGAGTGAGCGCTTTTGACTTTCAATCAACTCAGACAGCTGCGGACGTGATGCAGCGGCACAGAGGAGGAGAAACTTTCTACCTTAAGGCTCCAAGATAACATTGTCTTCTCTCTGCTGCTTGGTAGTGGTGAATTCACAGGCCATCCGCCCATCCATCCATTTTCATCCGCTTATCCGGGGCCGGGTCGTGGGGGCAGTAGGCCAAGCAAAGCACTCCAGACATCCCTCTCCCCGGCAACACTTTCCAGCTCCTCCTGGGGGACCCCAAGGCGTTCCCAGGCCAGATGAAATATGTAATCGTGTTCTGGGTCTGCCCCGGGGCCTCCTACCAGTGGCACGTGCCCGGAACACCTCCAGCGGGAGGCGCCCAGGAGGCATCCTGATCAGATGCCCGAGCCACCTCAACTGACCCCTTTCGATGCTAAGGAGCAGCGGCTCTACTCTGAGCTCCCTCCGGATGTCCGAGCTCCTCACCCTATCTCTAAGGGGGCAATTCCATGCAAATGTCAACCTCACCATTAAAAAATAAAGTAGCCATATTTATAACAAAACCCATTTAAAATATATCATCAAGGTCTATATTTTGAAGTACAAAATACATTTGATCACAATATTAATGCAAATAAATGATTTTCCTCACTACAATGAGGAGACACAATAATGTAAAAATGTATTTTTCAGTGAACAAAATTGTATGACTTTCTGAATGGCCAGAATGGCAAAAAAACAATCACCTACAGATGTCTTCTAACCTCACTTTTTATCAGGAAGGGCTGTTGTATCAATATGTAAATCAGTTATGTACTTTGTGTCTTTCCATTGGCCGGTGGAATGTGCTGTTATGATGCCCGTTTATGGGACAACTCATGTAACGTCTACTACTTCAACACTACTTAGCTCTCTCTCTACTCTACCAGTAGACTACCACATCCACCTGTTGCACAAAACGCACACAGCAGTGTTTCCCCTAGGATGGAGTTGTAGCAGCGGAGGTGAAGCACACGCATGAAAAATAATTTTCAAATGCGTGAAACTTTTTTGTATGCTTGCAAAGCAGCCTGCTGGGATGTTTCTGTGTATCTACTGGCACCAGAAGGGCTCTTTAGGACTAAGTACATACAGTACATGTGTGCACAGTAATGAGCAGGTGAAATGTCTGTCTAGCTTACATATGAGGTGTCTCAAGATTTAGGAACATACAATTTTATTGAATATAATAAAGTAAAAAGTCACTTGACATGCTGCTGTTTTGTGCTATGACCTATTTAAGTGTTGAAAGTTGTTATTTACGTGACAACACCTGAACGCAACACAAGTTCAGCATGAGTGCCATGCTGAGCTACTGTGCGAGCAGCGTGTCTGTCTGTGCGTAACAGCAGTCTGTTGGTGGTTATTTACACACTGTCCATTTCAATAACTTTGTCAGCTGACAAACTGCACCGGGCTCGGGGTCAGGTTTGGTCAGGAAAATGCGGCCTGAGCCGCTCTAGCGTGCTCACTTGTGTGTGTGGCGGAACTCCGCCGTGTGCGATACAGAGAGCAGAGGAGAATTGTTAACGCGTGACCATGTAGAGACAGAAATGACATGATGACATAACACCATAAATAGTATATTGTTATGTTATTATATGAAGCGTCCGTCGTGCAAAATAATATCAATGGGGGCTGTGGGCAGGACATTGTTACACAGCTGTGCCTGTGACTTCAGAGAGACCGCTGCATCAGAGCAGAAGAGCACGTTTTAAAATACATTTATTTTATCAATTAGTTATTAACTTTTACTGTTTTTAGCAACTTGCCCGATCGGGCAAGTGGGTTGTTAGTTTACATGCCCGACCGTGAGTTTTACTTGCCCCGGGCAATCGGGCAATCCTTATTGTTGAGCCCTGCATCCCCTTGTCTGCTACATCTTTCTGTGTTGGAAGGCTGTGCAGTGATCCGTTTGATGCACTGCAGCCAGGAATAATACATTTTTTTGTGGCCAGTTTTTAGCAACATCGCTACATTCTCCTGTTTCGCTCTTTTCTCGCAATAATGCACCTGACTGGGGGTGTGGTTATGCACCTTTGTATCTGGACAACAATTTTTTATCCACTATCCATCTAATTTTAGGGAGGCTAGAGTAATAACAGAAGGAAGCAGTTTCACATTTTCACAGCTTTTATTTTACACCCTCAAGTTTATAACAAACTTAAAACACTATCGAAATGCATGTTCATGATACAGGATCTTTTAAGAACATGGAACTTTCAAATGAGTTGTGCCCTAAAAACAATGTTAAAAATTACAACTTAATTAGATACAAAAATTGTGCACAATTGATAATGCAAATTTGTGTGACACCTTCTATTATTGATATTTTTTTTTTTTTTTTTTTACTGTTTGTGCAGATTATAATAGATTGTGAGTTAGGAAGGATTCTACAGCTCCACTACAATGCAGCAATGTTGGTTTCAACTTTAACGAGCTGGTTGAGCAGAGAAAGAGCACAGCCTTTGCACTGGAGATGTGAGCTGTGCTTTATTTCCAGAGAGGCACCACTGATCCACAGGCTTCTCTGATAAACTTGATAAATATGGGCTCAAATCTGAACCCATTCCATCCTCAGAAAGATTGCCTCCCAGTGTGAACAGAGCACAGGGATAAGAGACTTCCACATCTTTTGTAAAAGGTTTCCTTCCACTGGTCATGAGCTACCACAGAAGTTTCTGTGTTATGCTAAGCTGAAAGCATGGCATCCATTATTGATGAGTCATGTAGGGCATTGTCTTGACAGCTCTGTCCTTGTTCCAGTGGTGTGTAGAAACATAAACTTTCCCATCTTGATTTTTCCTTTTTTTATGATGACCAAAGTTCAACAGTTTTTGGTTACAAACAACACGTCTGTCCAGAGACATGTGGCTGCATTAATATTGATGTTGTGTCATATGGAAAATCCTGTACGTCGTGTTTACAAATGCAGGGAATTCCTGATCTCAAACAAAGACTTGTGTAAGCCACCATATGTCTGACGCAGACACTTGTCTTAGGCTTGACATTTCATTGCACTTTCAGACCCACGCTGAGAGTCATACCGTACTCTGTGATTCATGTTGCACCTGCTTTCCTGATCAACAACATGTGTACACATCTATGCACGCAGACTTCCTCTGGTACCCCTCCCAGCGCGATCCACAACAGCAGGAAGCGTCATGGGAGGCCGAGGTAAAGAGAAGGTGAAGGATGAAGGAAGGGAGGATTGTCAGGGCTGAGGGTGGGGGAGGACATGGGGATCATGTTGCGACACCAAGGGGAGTGTGCAAGAGAGATAAAAAGGGGATGAACATGATCAGAAGGGATAAAGCCTGGTAGAGTCCTCGGCGATATCTCCCTCAGTCAGACAAGGCACACTCACATGTGCACGCATCACATGCACGTAACTCAAAGGTGACACTTTTCTCCTCCTTTACCTTAAATCCTTTCTCCTCATCTTTTCTTGCAACTCGCTGCCACTGCATTCTTTGTAGTAAATGCAACAGCCCCTGCAAAAGCCAAGTCAGACACATTAATAAGTCTACAATGCGTAGCATGCAATGGGTCATAAATATTACAGCAGGCTTGTGAGAATAGAGATCAGTAACTTTTATAGGAGCCTGGCTGACATAGCCTTTTAGAACATCCTCCTCTTTCCTCAGGGTATCTGTTTATCTTCAGGGCATCTGTTTATATCTGAGAATTACTTCTTTTTGTGTATCGCTTGGCGGCAGCTCAAGTTCTCTTCTTTACAGTGCAGTGTATACCTCGGTGACTGTCTTTCATTTGGCTGATTTTTCTTGACATATCTGTTGTCTGTAATTTGTTCCAAGTGAAGTGTATAACACCTGCCTTTTCTGTGTGCTTCTTGCAGTTGAGTTTGACGACTGTGCAGGGAACGAAGATGTGAAGTTTGAGGTGTCGGACCCCAGATTCCACGTGGACGGAGATCTGAATCTGGTTCCTCAGCGAGATGTCCTGTACAGCCGGCCAGTCCTGTTTATCCACGGGCTCAGTGCACGTGCAGATGACACGGCACAAGTGGAAGTCACTGGACTGCCGGTCCAGTCACCGCACGCTCTCAGGGTTAGTACAGTAGACTGCTGCTGCTGCTTGTGTGTGTGTGTGTGTGTGTGTGTGTGTGTGTGTGTGTGCATGTGCGCATGTGCGTGTGCGTGTGTGTGTTATCAGTGTCTTTGTTTATGCTTCATCAAAATTGAAAAGGTTATGCTTCATTAAAGACTGAAAAGGTTACCGTAATGTAGTATGTATGTAATGTAGTAATGTAGTGTACCAGACATAATGTAGCGGTGATTAAATAACAATGCCCCTGGGTAAATGAGAGGCTCCGTGACCTGCTTTTTAGTTTGATATTTTGCGAAATATTCTTATTTGCTTTCTTGCCAAGATGACAAGAGATGATTTAGATGACAAGGTTGGTGGCACTCTCATGCCTGTACTGCAAATCTACAGTCAGCAGCAAGTTAGCTTAGCACAAACACCGGGGACCGAAGGAAACAGCTAGCATGGCTCCCTCAAAAGGTAACAAAATCTGCCCACCAGCACATCTAAAACTGACTAATTAACACATTATATCTTGTTTGTTTAATCCGTACACAAAAAAGTGTAAACATGACACATTGCAGTGTTGCGGGGGGTTGTGTGCTGCACTATACCTCAGCCAGGGAAAGTAACTTCTTGGAGTCTTTGTCTGGCAAACTAATGGTGACAACCAACTCAGGGAAGTTACTGTGCCGAGCCAAGCAAGAGTTTGGCAGTCTGGCTTGTGATAATGTGTCATTTTAACACATTGGTTTCTGTGCAGATTAAACAAATATTTAATCAGGGACCTTTAGAAGAGTTGGTAGGTGTTTCTTTTTTCTTGGACAAAGCTTGACTCTCCATTTTTTTCCGTGTATTGATGCTTTGCGCTAAACTAATAGGCTGCAGGTGGTTGCTGTAGAGAAGACTCCGACAGTGCAGTCGTTAAGGAGCTAATTATTACCATTATAATAACTTTAGCCCAGGCAGTCAACAGAAATCCCCTGTGTCGCAGCTGACACTCCCCTCAGTCGGTGGCTATGAAAGAACCTCACCCAAGTAAACATCACCTACAGCACTGTGTGCACTGATGACAAAAAGAGGAGTTAACTGTTGTAGAGACTGTAATGCCATTGTGATGTTTGTTTTAGTCCTTATTGGCTGTTCCTGTCAGTTACCTGGTGGTTAACTATGCTTATATAAGCTATGGCTAGAAAGCCTTGTGAAAGGGCAGGTGCATTATTTTTATACCTCTGTGCCATCGACAGAGGTGGCCAGAGGCATTATGTTTTCAGAATGTCCGTCTGTCCGTCCCATTCTTGTGAATTCAATATCTCAAGAATGCCTCAAGGGATATTTTTCCAATTTGGCACAAATGTTCACTAGGACTCAAAAAAGAACTGAATGGATTTTGATGGTCAAAGGTCAAGGTCACTGTGCTCTCACAAGATATGTTTTTGTGAGATCACAGTGACCTTGGTCAAAGGTCAAGGTCACTGTGATCTCATAAAATATGTTTTGGCCATAACTCAGGAATTCCTATGCTAATTCTGACAAAATTTCACACAAATAGTAGGATAATAATAGGATAAACACTTTGTGACACTTTGTATCCACAAGGTCAAAAGTCAGCTTCACTATGACATCATTATGTTCTTCAGGTACTTTTCTGGATATTACTCAGTGTCATAACTCAGGCGCAGGAGGAGAGATATTTTGTCAAATGCTGAATTGGTGACACTAATCTTGAGTGCCCACCTAGAAACTGGGCTCATCGCAGAGATCTTCTGTGCTGCCAGGTTGAAGATGTGTGTGAAGATTCCATGTTTTCACAGACATGGGTGTAAAATGTAAATACAACTTGACAGGTTCGCAAAGGCATACACCTGTGAGGCGGTAATTCTGATTTCTTTTTAGGGCTAGTTACACCATTGTGTCGCTCCCAGTAGTGTTCCTTATGTATTTAAATCTGATCAATCAAATTTGGGTCAAAATTCATATGTTTTAGCATTGAAATGCTTTTTTCCCAAGCCCTCCTGAAAACATTTTTCCACGTGACCTAATGTTGGTTTCTGCATAATGACGTTGCTTCATATAAACCCTCAGGCCTGTGATTCCCTGTGACAGAGCCAAATCTTCTTTAAGAATTTTGAGTTATCGAGATTCCATATTCCTTTGACCCTTTAAACGGCAATGCAGCGCTGTGTACACTGTGTGGATCTGAAAGTCAAACTGTAACACAAACAAACTAACTGATCGAGGCAGCGGTAGACCAACAACTCACTTCTTCTGCCAGTTAAAATTTCTCCTTTTAATTCATGGAGTCTGGTGCCTCTGAAAAGAGCAATATAACAGCTTCAGTTTCCTGTTGGAAAGGGCTGTTTAATAGCAAGGTAAAGCAGTGAAAATATCATGCTGCCTATGAGTGAGTACCTCATACAAACCAACTTCAAAAAATCAGAACTAACACTTTCAGTCATTATTATTATTATCATCAGCAATTGCTGCTTTAAACTACATCACTGCTTTTTGCTAACAGCTGAGTGGGCGTTTCAATTTAAAAAAATCCAGAAAATAACGCAGATGGGCCGACCCTTTAAGTTTTAGTAATTAGGCTGTGTGGAGATTGCTAGTCCTTATGTTACACACCCAGTATTTTGGATGGGAGATTTATTCAGCTTGTGTGCAGTTTCACCCAGTGTTAATTACCGAGTTAGCTCCTTTAGCCTTTTTGCTAATTCAGTTATTATTTGGGCTGTATTTCTTGTTTATCACATCGGTAATGAGGATTACTCTCCAGTCTTTAGAACACACACACACACACACACACACACACACACACACACACACACACACACACACCACCACTTTCACGCCCGTGTTGTGGCAGAAGGATAAATAAGATTTAAAGACTGTAAGCAATTTGTGCTCATGTGCCTGACTCCTTAAGCATTCAGCAAAGTCTTATAAGCCCATGTTCAGTCTCTGTGTCCTGACCCCACCCATATTGGCTAAAAACTTCACAAGCTATATAAATTCACCCATACAGTTGCTCCAAAATTCCTATACAGACATGAGAGTGGTGTCAATCTGTGCAAGAAGTTAAGTTCTCAACATGTCAGACTATTCCTTTAAATGTTGAGACAAGATGGTTAGTTTAGCTTGATGATGTAAACCTAGACACCAGGCTTAATTCACAAAACATTCATACATTAGTGGTTGTTACTGAAAATTAAAAACATTAGATGCCAAATTCATCAAATGTTCAGAGGCATCTGTTGTCAGTCTTCATGCATGTTTTGATAAATTCTAATCACTCATAAATGTGTGGCATGCTCCTGCAACCTTAATTATCGTCAATTAACATAATTGCACTACCTCAGAGATGCCATATTAGGCAGTTTTGGAAACACTCACATCCATAATCTTTGAAACCACATGGACACAGAAAAAAAATAGCTTAAATTACGTCGGTATTAAGGTAGTACTCTGTGTAATTTAAAGAAAATTGCCTTCTATTTTAAAACAAGGCACTATAGCCTTAGTAAAAGATGACGTAGTGGGAGAGCTCAGAGACGGTGATTGATGCAACATCACCAAAAAGAGCTCTATAAGAATTTAAAAGAAAAGGTTTTGATTTACTAAAGAGGAACATGTGAAAGCTGCTTGAGGAGGCCAGGAGAACAGCTGCTGCTGTGCTCTGCCAAACCTATAAGCATATCATTGCCATCACTAGAGATATGTCAGCTTCTAGTGCTGTTGCAGATGGCAGCAACAACTGAGCCCAGCACTAAATCTGTCGGCAGGCTGATGGAGTTAATGTCCATTGATAGACAGTCTAGGTTATTGATCCAGATTGCCCTCACTTCAAAATGTTTAGCCCTTGAAAAGGCTCTAAAGACTTTGGAATGTCCCACCAAAAGTGAAAGACTTGTAAAGCGTTTCACTGTGGGTTGCTCATATGCTTTACACATGCTCTGATTCAGTGTGGTGCAATACTTTCTTGAATTTAAGAATAACTGGAACCACATAAACTTTGATGAATACCCAAATGTGGAAACATTTCTTGTGTTTTTAATCATTATTCATGCACAAGGTCACATGGAAGGAGGACGAAAAAAAACCCACTTTCCTACAGGGCAACATAAACAGCTGTAATGCTTTTGCACCCGGGTTTGACACATGAAGGATTATGCTGGCCTGTTCCAATTATATGGAAATTTGGCCAGTAAGCCTGCACCCCAACCCTGAGCTTTGTTTCTCTGCAAATGTGTCCTTTTGTTTGTGCAATCTACAGACATTTGTTTCCGTAGCCAGCAAATTGACTGCCATATAAAACTATGAGTAAGCATCATTGTCCCTCATTCATATCCTCTATATACGTCAATTCCCCCTCAGTTTAGTCCAAATACACTAAGTTGATTAGGAAACATTTCCAGGGGCTGCAGGTACAGTTGGTGTTCCCTTCATTCTCTCAGAGATCATCTGTCTTCCTGCTGCAGTGCTCAGAGTCCTGCTGCTACAATTCCTCCAGCCCAGAGCTTAATGAATGTCTCCATCCCTTTCGGCATGAAGTGGCTCTCATTTGTTTGCCTCTCACCATAGTTTATTTGGTTAGCTAGTCCATGGGTGTTACCTTGGCAAGTCATTGAGGATATAAGTGAATTAGTCTTTTGGCAAGTTATGTTTGGGAGGCGAAGTTCCTAGTGACAAATGTGCATGCATAGTCTTTCCTTTGTGCAAATGTGTGTGTGTCCATGGATCACTTTCACATGGCATGTATGTTCAAACTCTCTAATATGACCCACAGGAGCCTTTCCATAAATTAGCAGCCCTACTGGTGGACAACAGAATACTGTACCTTGTATGTGACCGTTAATGGTTGCAGTTTGAAACATGTGGTTAATGTTGTGAAATGGTTGCAGTTGCACCAAAAGTACTTTGTTAGATTTAGAAAAAAGATCACGGTTTGACCTAAAATAAGTATGTTTGTTACTAAAGTAATGTAACGTGAAGTATCTTACATGACATTATTTCCTTTGAGT